GAGATCTTTCACAAGGACATTAACGAGATCATTCACAGGAACATTAACGAGATCATTCACAGGGACATTAACGAGATCATTCACAAGAACATTAACGAGATCATTCACAGGGACAATAACGAGATCATTCACAGGGACATTAACGAGATCACTCACTGGGACATCAACAAGATCACTCTCAGGAACATTAATGATATTATTCACAGGGACATTAACGAGATCATTCACAGGAACATTAACGAGATCATTCACTAGGACATTAACGATATTATTCACAGGGACATTAACGATATCATTCACAGAAACATAACGAGATCACTCATAGGGACATTAACGAGATCATTCACAGGGACATTAACGAGATTATTCACAGGAACATTAACGAGATCACTCATAGGGACATTAATGATATTTTTCACAGGGACATTAACGAGATCATTCACAAGGACATTAACGAGATCACTCACTGGGATATTAACGAGATCATTCACAGGGACATTAACGAGATCATTCACAGGAACATTAACGAGATCATTCACAGGGACATTAACGAGATCACTCACTGGGATATTAACGAGATCATTCACAGGAACATTAACGAGATCATTCACAGGGACATTAACGAGATCACTCACTGGGATATTAACGAGATCATTCACAGGAACATTAACGAGATCATTCACAGGGACATTAACGATATTATTCACAGGAACATTAACGAGATCTTTCACAAGGACATTAACGAGATCATTCACAAGAACATTAACGAGATCATTCACAGGGACAATAACGAGATCATTCACAGGGACATTAACGAGATCACTCACTGGGACATCAACAAGATCACTCTCAGGAACATTAATGATATTATTCACAGGGACATTAACGAGATCATTCACAGGAACATTAACGAGATCATTCACAAGGACATTAACGATATTATTCACAGGGACATTAACGATATCATTCACAGAAACATAACGAGATCACTCATAGGGACATTAACGAGATCATTCACAGGGACATTAACGAGATCATTCACAAGAACATTAACGAGATCATTCACAGGGACAATAACGAGGTCATTCACAGGGACATTAACGATATTATTCACAGGAACATTAACGATATTATTCACAGGGACATTAACGAGATCATTCACAGGGACATTAACGAGATCATTCACAGGGACATTAACGAGATCATTCACAGGGACAATAACGAGATCATTCACAGGGACATTAACGATATTATTCACAGGGACATTAACGAGATCATTCACAGGAACATTAACGAGATCACTCATAGGGACATTAATGATATTTTTCACAGGGACATTAACGAGATCATTCACAAGGACATTAACGAGATCACTCACTGGGACATCAACAAGATCACTCTCAGGAACATTAATGATATTATTCACAGGGACATCAACAAGATCACTCTCAGGAACATTAATGATATTATTCACAGGGACATTAATGAGATCATTCACAGGAACATTAACGAGATCATTCACAGGGACATTAACGATATTATTCACAGGGACATTAACGAGATCATTCACAGGGACAATAACGAGATCACTCACAGGGACATTAACGAGATCATTCACAGGGACATTAACGAGATCATTCACAAGAACATTAACGAGATCATTCACAGGGACAATAACGAGATGATTCAAAGGGACATTAACGAGATCATTCACAGGGACATTAATGATATTTTTCACAGGGACATTAACGAGATCATTCACAAGGACATTAACGAGATCACTCACTGGGACATCAACAAGATCACTCTCAGGAACATTAATGATATTATTCACAGGGACATTAACGAGATCATTCACAGGAACATTAATGATATCATTCACAGGAACATTAACGAGATCGTTCACAGGGACATTAACGATATTTTTCACAGGGACATTAACGAGATCATTCACAGGAACATTAACGAGATCACTCATAGGGACATGAATGATATTTTTCACTGGGACATTAACGAGATCACTCACAGGAACATTAATGATATTATTCACGGGGATATTAACGTGACAAATTCACAGGAACATTAACGGTTTTATTCAAAGCTACATTAATACTTGGTTTATTCAATAAAGGGACCACAGGCCCACAGTTACATAAGTCATATCCTGAAATCTGGAGCGCCATAACACTGTACAAGGTCAATAAACATACACTTAATGGGTTGTACAAGTTTTGTTAAGGTAATTGTTACGTTGTTTGAATACAAGGAACGAAAACTTCGCTAAATGATTTAAAATACCTGAATCGTGTGATGAGCAAAGTAATACAAGTTTATCATAAGAAGGATGAGTAGAGTAGAACTCAGGCAAAATTGTATGTCTGGGATTATAGTAAGAAGGACATTCCAAGCACGTGATATTCTGTCTCAATTACAGGTGTAACACAAAATGGACATAACCTAGAATTTCTTGTCAGACCAGATTTTCTTCCAGACTATCATTAACTGATGGCTTGAACAGCGAAATATACAAAGAGCCTTACGATAAGCTGGTACATCCAGACAAGTTAAATGCACCTCTCTCTCAAAAGAAAGTTTAATGTCACAATATAAATTCAGTTTAGAATAAGAATGAATACGTGTAAACCAAGTTTGTGTATCTATATCAATACATTAATGAGATCGATCTTTCACTGGGATATTAACGACATTTTTACGAATTGTTTTGAATATTTAATATACCACCAACCAAACAACACATATGTGACGTAGAGACAACCAAACTACCACAAGCAGGCAAGCTGTCAATCATGAGGTGAGGTCATTACACTCACTGTCCAACCCGTTATGTCACCAAGACGGGCACCTGCCACAGATCGGACTGGTTTTGTAACAATGCGGTCTGGGCAGAATGACACGTGAGCTTCTCTGTAACTCGTTTGTGTACCACGACCCAGACTGGTGTCACTGACATTCTTCTGTGTGCAGAGATCTGAACACCTGTGTAATCTATGACCCCAAGTCAATCGGTGAATGTTTTGGTTGTCACTATGGATAATATTCCAGTTATATCATAGTCGTCTACAAATATCCCAGGGTCCCGTTCCTCAAAGCGATCGTATCGCTACTACAGTCGTAAGTCTATGTTAAAGTATGCGAGTTACGATCATCTTATAGGGCTACGATCGCCTTGAGGAACGTGGCCTTGCTCGGTCCAATGAAACCAGTTAACGAGACCATAAGCAACTACAGTCCGTTTGAGACAGAATGATATCGATGTATTGCAATCTAACACATAAAAGAATCAAACCAACGCGGACTGCAATAAAAACAACAGACCAACTCTAGAAACAAATTGCATAATTTGTGTAACAAAAATAAAAAAGTTGTTTAAGAAACTGTCATCATTTATTTGTGCGTTTTCCCAGTTTGTTACAAGGGCGCATTGGCAACTAAAGGAACAGCGCGAAAATCGAGATGCACGTGCGTTAACGGGTTCTCAACAAACTTTTGAGCTGACGAGATGACACGTTCCCCAGCTGCACAGGCAATGCGCTGTATGTACTTAGTAATTGCATACTTGGGTCACCCCCTGTCATTTTCATCCTTGAAAAAATCATAGACTTTGTAAATTGTAGACTTTCAATTTCTCTCACTTTGTCAATCAGCAGTCAATCACATGTCTCTGACGTCACTAATGCACGTGCATCTCGCTTTTTGCGCTGTTCCTTTAGTTGCCACTGCGCCCTTGTAACAAACTTGGAATACGCACAAATAAATGATGACAGTTTCTTAAACAACTTTTTTAATTTTGTGACACAAATTATGCAATTGTTTTCTAGAGTTGGTCTGTTGTTTTTATTGCAGTCCGCGTTGGTTTGATTCTTTTATGTCGATTTGTTTTTGTGTTAGATTGCAATTCATCGGTATCATTTTGTCTCAAACGGACTGTACATCGCACCATTGCGTACTGCGTGGGTTCTGTGGCTCGTGATCGCTGTGGCGCATTAATACAAAACACAAGCTTACTGTTTACTGCTGATAATTCCAGGATGATTGTTTAACGGGGCCAAGATAAATTCCATTCTTTACCAACTCATGCCATTCCGCGACAAGAAAAGATTTCCTCCCGAAGATCCAGCTTCAAGTTTTGCTGGTATAACGAGTGAATGAGCGAGCGAGTAACTCTTTACGCCGTTTTAGCAAAACATCAGCGCGCGGGACACCAGAAATGGCTTCACACATTGTACCCATGTGGGGAATAGAACTCGGGTCTTAGGCCTGAAGAGGAAACGCCTTAACAACTAGGATACCACACACCCCTGGTACAGAGCGATATAACCCAAACCATTATGGTAGTTTTGGTTTTAAAATATTAAGGTAAGGGTAAGTCTGTCTCACAGTCCCAGAAACTCAATCATTTCCCTTCCGCCCAGCCATTTCTCCAATACAAAAGCCGCAAATGAAGCAAGCCTAAATTTCCCTCGGATTCACTTCTGAATCCCCAAGCTCACTGATCTCCTTTTCAATTTCAAAAGAATAATTTGGTTCTACAAATATATTCTGTGTCTATTTCCGAAAACTGAGCGTTAGTCTAGCAGACGTGCGCTGGTCCGAAGGTTACGGAAAGGGGCGAGTGGTGACAAAAGAGAATCGAGATGATAAACAGATCAAGAAATCAGTTTCCGTGCAAGTTTGGGGCGGTGGGATAGCCCAGTGGTTAAAGCATTCGCTGCGTCACGCCGAAGACCCGGGTTCGATTCGACACATTGGAACAATGTGTGGAACTCATTTCCGTGTCCCATGCATCCGACTAACGGGATCGGATAGTCAGGCTCTCGTATTCCAATTGTGCAGAGAGATGCTTATGACGTCAGTCACTGAATTGTCTTGTCCAGATTTCATTATTTACTCCTACTGTCATATAACTGGAATACTGGCAGCGTTAAATAACAAGCAGTTAAAATTCAAATCAAATCTTACGTTAGACGGTTAATTCTTACCTGTGACCCAGCGCCATTGGAGGACACAATGACGACATGTGAGATCCTGAGGTATGACAAGCTTCACCTGGTGCAGGCCGATTTGACGGGGATAGTATCTTCTTCCATGCCCAACGATGCTCAGCTGATAGTCTGAAAAACACTCCTGAGTGACCGCCTCGTCGAGGAAGTTATGAGGGCACACACTGAATTCGAAATACCCGCCCAGAAAAAGTGTCTACTTGTATGCTGACGCACATGGTGCGTGTCTTAAAGGTCCTCGTGACGACATACCGTGGCACGTACTTCCCGTGCAGCTCGTGGTCACGTGGTGTGAAAATTGGGTCACCGCACACTCCACACCATTCGTCCATGTCCGGGAGATATGGGATCTGGAAGAAGTGAGTGAGTTTACTTAAGTTATACACGGCCGTTAGCAATATTCCAGCAATATCACGGTGTGGGACACCATAAATGGGCGTCATATCCCCATGTGATCGAACCCTGGTCTTCGGCGTAACGAGCGAACGCATTAACCACTTGGCTAACCCGCAAGTTGTATCATTGAACTCTTTTTTTTAGCACACATGTGAGTGGTTGATCGGATAAAAGGGTCAATGATAGGTAAAACCCTGGCATATTATGGGTGATGGGGTGATGGTAGGACTCGGGGGAAGGTCAGGCCTAAAAAAAGTGTTGTGGTTCCGATTACCTGACCGACCCCTGAATACTCTAATTTTTTAATGGTTAGAGCGTCCGCCCGGAGAGCGCAAGGTCGCGGGTTCGATCCCCGACCGCGTCATACCATAAGACGTTAAAATATGGTACTTGTTGGTCCCTGCCTGGCGCTCGGCATTAATGGGTACAACAAGGACTGGTCGGCTCGGAGTCAGTATAATGTGTCTGAGTGGGTTATTCATGCTTCACTGCGGCATGGTATCTCAGTGGGCTAGCACTATAAAACCAGCTTAAGTCTGGGCTAGTACAAGCAGCCGCACATACACATACACACGCATGCACGTCGTCATATGAGCGAAATATTCTCAAGTACGACGTAAAACCCAATTTCACCTCACCTCACCCAATTTTTTAAGCGGTATGAATAAATTAAGCTTTCAGATACGATTGTTTTTTCACGGCACCGATAGACATCGGTTATTCTGATAGAGAAAGTCGACGTGGTGGCCTCAAGCTTGATTAAATAAACAATTACACATTGATGAATGTGTTGGTAGTTTGCATTTTACTTCTAAAAAAATATGTAAGAAAAAAAAATTCCTACCCACCTGCCCTAAATTTTAATGAGGTGTAACCGGAACCACAATTTATATATTTTTTGGCCTTAGAGGGACTTGAGGGAAGGGTCTGTTCTGTCTCACAGTCCCTGGACCACATTATTTTCCCTACAGCCTAGCCCTCCCTGCAATACTAAAGCCCTAATGAAGCAGGTCCAGATTTACCCAGGATCTGAATCTCTGGTCTGGGGCTCCTATTCAATTTAAATGGGCTTGTTTGTAACTATCAAAAATATTCAGAGACTAAGCATTAGTCTAGGAGGGGTCTGAAAGGTTTTTACTTATTTGGTAACATACATAGCGAGGGTCGTGTAAGAAGTACATTTAATGATAAAGTATACAGAGCTGTTGCATTTCACATCCTCTTTCCAAAGAGTGCCACGAAGAATGTGCGAAAAACATGGCAAGGTTCGTCTAGAATAAAACCATATGTGGTTGGGTAATCTGTATGCGAGAAATTTTATGTAACAGAACAAAAATCAAAGAATATTTGAATACATATGTACTTACCAAATTGGCACCACAGGTTAAATCGGAATCATTTCTGTTGATGGGCAGCTGGTACCCATACCTCCAGAGGCTCGACCTATTTGGCGGGTCTACCATCCGACCCCTTGCCGTCACCATGGCAACCAAAATGTAGCAGACGACAGCAAACAGCAAAGACATTTGAAAGTTCATAATCAAATTTTGAGATCGGACAATTTCTAAAAGTTATGAAAGTGAAATTCAAGAATTGGAATGATTAAACAAATTCGAAATACTCAAAATTGGAGAGATGCTTTAACGGCTGCCTCTCCCGTTGAGCACAACCCAAGAGATGGATAAAGTAGATTAGAAGCTCATGATACGTTTGGGGGGTTTTCAAAAGAAAGGTAAAAATAAACAAGCTCATTTATCTTCTGAAAAAACTCTACATTCCCCCCTTCATGACTGGTGAGATGTCTTACATCACGTGACTTAAGGTAAGTCCTTTATCGCGTGCTGTGTTTCGACAATTCGCCGGATTCTGGGAACAGAAACGTTGTTTTAGTAGGCTACACTCCCTTTTAAGTAACTTCACGTGTTCATTTACTGTGTACATGTATCAGAAAGGGTCCCAAATATCGCTAATAAATAATGTATATATGATTCAGGACGGGAACAGCATCGCTAAAACGCAACTTTAAAACAATGAAAGATTTTTAATACATATAAACGTGACAACATTTTTACACCTGGTTTCCAACAATAACTTCGTGGCGGACCTATTATCATCTGAACCAAACCTGAAGGCATCACGTGGTCCTGTGTGCAGCAGGTGAAATCAGCTGAAGTGGGTGAGTGAGTGAGTGAGTGAGTGAGTGAGTATGGTTTTATGCCACTTTTGGCAATATTCCAGCAATAACACGGCGGGGGACACCAGAAATAGGCTTCACACATTGTACCCATGTGGGGAATCGAACTCGGGTCTTCAGCGTGACAAGCGGACGCTTAAAGCATTAGACTACCCCATCGGCCCGAAATCAGTTGAAACACAGTTTCGGGGAGTAGGTGAATGGGTGAAGTGGTGGGCAGCATGGCTCCTGGGAATTTGTAGGGCTTCGGTCTGCCCCACAATGAAACTCATGCAGCACATGGTGTCCTTGGACATGTGTCTTTGTACGAAGTATGCCACTGTACACACAACAGTACATGGGTACCCGGTAGGGTGAGATGGTCATGTGAACTGACAGTGAAAACAACATTGGATAATCGTAGTAGTAGTAGTAGTAGTAGTAATAGTAGTAGTAGCAGTAGCAGAAGCAGCAGCAGCAGTGCTAGTAGTTGCAGTATCAGTAATAGTAGCAGTAGTCGTAGTGTTGTGGTTGTGAACTTTTCTTTTCTTTTTTTTCTTTTTTTTTTGAGCACTGAATTGCAACGCCAAAGTTAACATATCCCTCTGTCATCAAGAGCTGCCTTTGTAAAACATTTTGCACAGTTAAAAACAATTATATAGAAACATCATGCTTGCCTAACTCGCCAGTCGGGTTAAGCGGGAAGAGGAAAGTCAACTGATGATCGCATCTCTCTGCATCTTCCAAAAGACCACGATAGTGTACTTTAATGTTTTCAGGGTTTTTTCCCGAAAAACAGTAATTTACTCACGATGTCATCCACATTTAACGGAAAGTGTGTGTGATTCTATTTCAGGTGTGCAACATGTCCCCAGTGTTATTGCATACAGGAGGTTCCTGTACTGTGGGTTTATTTCAGAAGAGGTAATTGCTTGTTTGTTTTACACCCTGTTGGATTGATAATGTCTCGTAATGAATTACCGATATATGTAAGAACATGTTAGAACGAGTATAAGCGAGTGAATGTCGTTCAGCGCCGCAGTGGGCAGTTTACAAAATGTGCGCCGTATAATGAACGTCGTGTGACCTTAACTCTGCTCCAGTATAGAGACCTAAAAGACGCCTTCTTGTTGTATAACACACTTGTAGGATTTCCTACTCTCTGTGCCAGTGGCGTTGTCACACTACACTGGTAACACTACTGACGATGGGGTTACTTTTCTCTGTGCTACGTTGGTGGAGTCGTTTCTTTTCTCTTAGATGGTGACCTTGTTTCTCTTCTCTGCGTATGTGACGTCGTTGCTCTTCTCTACTTCGGTGATGTCGTTACGTTTCTCTATATAGCGTCGGTGACGTCGTTATGTTTCTCTCTATTATGTCGGTGACGTCGTTATGTTTCTCTATATAATGTCGGTGACGTCGTTACGTTTCTCTATATTATGTTGGTGACGTCGTTATGTTTCTCTATATTACGTCGGTGACGTCGTTACGTTTCTCTATATTATGTTGGTGACGTCGTTATGTTTTCTATATTATGTCGATGACGTCGTTATGTTTCTCTATATTGTGTTGGTGACGCCGTTACGTTTCTCTATATTGTGTTGGTGACGTCGTTATGTTCTCTATATTATGTCGATGACGTCATTACGTTTCTCTATATAATGTTGGTGACGTCGTTATGTTGTTCTGTATTATGTCGGTGACGTCGTCATTGATCTCTATATTATCTCGGCGACGTCGTTATGTGTGTCTATATTATGTCATTGACGTCGTTACGTTGCTCCAGGCTGGTAACATCTGACGATATTGAAGAGTTTTCTTTTAATGAAAAGGCAAAAACTAATTATTACTTACTTTGCTATGTTTGACAATATTTAGTGGGTTTTTGTTTGTTTATTTGTGTCTTGTTATAACTGAAAGTATTGAACGCTCACAACGGTTAATTAAAAATGACAGTTCTCAAAATTTCAAATCTATTCCAACATTTCAAAAACAAATTACAAGGCCATGTTAAAAATTAATAAAAAGACGAAAGTACAGAGCCCCTTACAACTTACAGCTTTGGTGACAATCAGTATCACAAAATTAATAATGTACCAGAAGACCAAGGTTCATAACCATGGTGGGTCGTTGGATCCTGACATGAGTAAGGGACGTAACTCTTGACAGCAAATTACAGGGCCTTACAGCGTCTCAAGGGGACTCTATCAAGATCTGAAGGAAACACATCTCACATTGAAATATGTCACAAGTCTCGTTTATTTCGGGACCGCTTGCGGTGTAGTGGTTAGAGCGAAGGTCGCGGGTTCGATCCCCTGCCGCGTCGCACCAACAACTATGACACTTGTTGTTCCCTGCCGGACTAAAGTACTGTCGGAAATGCTAGAGAAATGCTTTTTGACTTATATTTAAAATTCAGAGGTATTACAGTTACTTAAATAAAAAATATCACTTTAAGAAACATCTACCTAATGTAGACAGAGGGAATAAATTTTTAGACATGCCCTTAAATGCGTTTTTACTGATGAAAATACCAAAAACTTAGAAAAATAAGGGGTAGTGGGACGTTATTTGATACAAACATTAACTGCCCGTGTTACATCATCAGCATGCACGGTATCGACAGGTGAAATTGACACCTGAGCACACGCTCGGGCGAGGGGTCATCTCATTAGATGTTTTCTTCAAAATGTTCAATATGTGTACGTATGGTAGACGTATTGGTTATGTGAGGGATCATTTGTGTATGTGTGTTTGTTGTGAAATAAACAAACGAATTACTGTACATTGGAAAGAATCCTATCACTTGTCTTATCTTATCGATTGATTGTAGAAATGTGCAACGTTTTAATAAATGTTTTGCATGTCCACAGTATATTTCATTGCAAAAATATGGATGTAATTCGGTCAGTTTAATCTAGCTGTGAACATTGGCCAAAGATTTAACGACGTCACTGGTGTAGCTTCTTTAGAATATATATATTGTTCTTCTCCTAAAGTTTGTAGACCGCCCGTCTAAGTACTCCCTTGTAAAAGTTGTCAAGGATGGTTTTATTATATTGTAATATTGTAAACTTGTTGGTAAGACATACCAACAACTCTACAAGTTCTGTATTAAACCATTTCTATACTAATGAAAGGTTTACCTCTGTCTTTTTCAAGCACAAAAAACTTATAAACCTTTGCAACAAGCGACTGCAAATAGTTGGCCATAGTGGACGCTGTGATAAAGATGTGCATGCATGACGGGAAACTTATTTATCAATACTTAACATTTATATAAATATTTCTTCAATAAAGAAAGGATAATTAAGTAAAGTAACACAAACATTCAACATTTATTTGTTTAAGAAATATGTTAATTTATATTTTTACACCACCTGTATTATTAGCATAAATGTAAAGACTATTTCAGATTTCTGTTGTTGAACTCCGAAAAAATCTTAAGTTGTTGTTTTGGTACCAAATTATCTCCTGTAAACTGCCCTTTAATTAAATGCATGGGAATGTTAAATCAATTGAAATAAAAATTAGGTACACTATAGGCGAGTTGATATATTGACAACATAATGCATTTATCGCCTTTCTAAAGATATTAAGGCTAAAAAGCATTTTTCTAACATTCGTCAAATGAGCGAAATATTCTTAAATACGACGTTAGACTCCATTTCACCTCACATCACCTCGTTTATTTCGGTCACAAACTATACTTTTTCTAATATTTTGTTTAGCCTGACAACAGGCTCGACTTCTAACAGCATCCTGAGAGTGGTCTGCATCATCTCCGACTGTGACAGTTCCCACGTACGTGTGTGTTACAGAGCGGACACAGTTAACCTCGCTCCACACAGGAGCTCCGTCGTGAGAATACTAATGAAGCGCGTTAGCTGGGAGATTGTCACTGTTGGGGTGGAGTGTAATTATTCACTTCATTTTATTGTGTTGTTTACGTCAATGTTTATTTATCTTATTATTTCACGATGTCTAATCCACGTATGTGGTACATTGAGTGTGAGCCCAACTACGGCATTGCCAAAATGTTTAAAATGTTTTTCCTATACTAATTTTGTTTTATATTTGTTATAGTGCAAACAATTTTAAATAATTTTCTTTAAAACTTTATTTATTCAAAATATCTAAGTTACAAGTGGCAAGACCCGTGAAGGTCCGGGTTAGAATATTGGCCTTCAATAACCCATGCTTGTCGTAAGAGGCGACTAACGGGATCGGGTGGTCAGGCTCACTGACTTGGCTGACACATGTCATCGGTTCCCAATTGCGCAGATCGATGCTCATGAAGTTGATCACTGGATTGTCTGATCCAGACTCGATTATTTACAGACCGCCGCCATA